GACTTTGATGGTTTAGGTATAGCATATTGTGATGTTGTTACTTATCTTCCATGTTATAGAAATGTTTTAAAAGAAGCAGCTCGATTTGGTGATAAATGGTCAAATAGATGGGCACAAGTAATAAATAATAAAAATTCTTTTTTTGTTTTTTTATTCAAATACATATATTTAAATTTTAGGAACATTCATATGCAAAAATTCTTTCCGAATTACCTGATATTCTTGAACAACATACTATTTGTGTGAATAAAGCTCAATTTAATAATTGGCAAGATTATTTAAAAGTATTTTTAGCTCAAGGTGGTATTATTGAAGCATATCCACCATCAGATTCCGTTACATCAATAACTGTTTGCCTTTCAATTGAACCTGATGGTCATCATACAATAATATGTTCTGGTGATCATTTACATGCTGAATCACAATTTTCTTGTTGGGGTTTATCATTTCCACAATCAAGTGTTGAACCACATGAATTAAATCTTTATTGTTCACAAATTGTTGAACAATGTAAACAAAGAAATATATATGGTTATATTGATATTGATTTTGTTACATTTATTGATGCTAAAACTGATAAACAACAAGTATGGATTGTTGATTTATCAATTGGATATTCTGAACATATATCACTTTATCGTGTTATGCGTTTTGTTACAACTGGTCGTTTTGATCCACAAACACATTCATTTACTGCTAAAGTTAAACAAGCTAAACGATTAAGAAATTGGCAAGGTTCTGCACCTGAATATAATGTAAGGAGAATTAAATATACAGAGTGACTTATAAATTACTAGACAATAAAAATACTTAATATCTTCTGCTTGTTTTAATTAATCGGGTTGGGATTTTTTTTCACAATGATAGAGGACTCTTCAAAATTTTTACTGGTCGAATATATCTCTCTGTGAACTCAGCCGTTCTTTTAAGGATACATATCTGAAATTTTTAGTATATCTACTATCCTAGAAATGTAGGAAAACGAGATCGGCTCGATCTCCATCGCTTGAGTAGAAGAGGAATTATGATGTATTGCAGTTCGTCTCACTATGAATCGTATAACTCAATAAGGGAAGAAGTTTATGACCTGGTCAATCTAATATTATATAAAATATCTGTAGCTTTTGAATACTAGGATGAAACTTGATGAAATTTATAGCATAAATAGTCACATTAAAGGATCACATAACTATAGGTCCATCGAGTCATTAGCGTCTTTTCTTCTTGAGTTATAGGACTCATAGTGAAAAGGGTTGCTGTAGATCATAACTTCTCTTCAATTCAATCGAAAAAGACCGGATAAGTCTCATTGACCTACATTTCTAAGGCAGTACAGATACTAAAAATTTCACATGTATAGCCCTAAGAACTAATGAGATCGTATTGATAAGATACTTTTGATAACGACGGTATTTTTTCATTAAAATCAATAATACTAGTTCTACAAAGTATTTATTTGAGAATTTCCATGTGAATAAAAACTTTGACGAATTCTCTATCATCGAGAAAAAAAAACCAATCTGATTGGCGAAAGCAGATTGGAAATATTGAATTTTTTTATTGTATGATTATTTTTAAGAGCCATCCTATATATATATATATATATATATATGTTTGTATAAATTTATTCGTTATTCTATTTTAAAAATAGATTGTGGAAAGAAATCGTTATGCTGTTTGGAGTGCACGTTTACATCATTCAAATTTATCAGTTCTTCATTATAGTGTCTTTTTTCAAATGTGTCGTGCACATGGTGTTGGTTTTGATATTCGTGAAAAACAAGGAAGTGTTTTTACATTACTTGAATGTGATCGTCATGAAAATATTGGTATGATTACGATTGGTGATACATTACAAAATACATTATCAAATTTTGCTTATAATTTAAATGCTATTAATCAAGAAATAACCACAGCAAGTATGAAAGGACGAAGTAATTTTATAGTAAGTATTTTTGTTATTTGAGATATAAATCTTAGAAAAAAAAAATTCTATTTAATATATAGTTAGCGATAAATGATATTGAAAATATACTTGGTATTACACAAGAAAATGCTTCAAATGAATCAACGGCAAATGCCACATCTTAAACTTAATATTTTGATGTATAGTATTTGTATTTCGTCTAATTTCTGAAGCGATTAGTCACTATAAAAATTTCACACTTTATATTTCTTTTTTTTTTTGCCGGAAACATAAAATATCACATATGACTCGAGTTTTTTTTTCCACTAATATATGAGCACAGTTTTTATTTTCATATGTGACATTGAAACAAATGTTTGTGAATTATATTAATACAATTATTATTTATTATAAAAAATAAAAA